ATTTAAAGACATTTTTGATTAAAGATATGGGATTTAATGGTAGTTGGCGATATAAGGTTATTCCTACTTCCAAACTGAACAAATTGAAGGTATTTTTTATATATTTTTGAGCTCCTCCACACAAAGTATAGACAATTTTTTTCTTGGCTGCTAGTTTTAGTATTTTTCTCATTGTCTTTTTTATGAACCTCTCTCTCAGGTGAGTCCTCTTACCTGGACTTCAGCAGAGCAGACACTCGAGCGTGGTACTCCAGATGTTTCGGCCTGGATAAATACAAGGTGAGTGTAACAACCAAGCTAAGAGAAGCAACATAAACCAGATGTTTTGGGTCAAAATGAAAGGTATTTATTGATACACATTAAAAGGATACAAACATTAGTGTTTAATATTCTTACTCAGTGAGTTTTTTGAAAGCCATAAACTTGTTTCTTTCTGACGCAGGGATCGACGTCCTCGTTGTTTGTGTGGAACGATATGAACGAACCGTCTGTATTTGACGGGCCGGAGCAGACGATGCCGAAAGACGCAGTGCATTATGGGGGCTGGGAACACCGGGAACTGCACAACCTGTACGGCTTCTACCAGGTGAGAGGGTAGAGAAACTGTTGGGAAAATCCTGAATGTACTCTTCAATATGAGAGTACACATGCTAACAAAGCTATCCCAACTGCAGCTGTGAACATGACAGGATGTGTGATTACCTAGAAGAGCATCAGGACTGTTTGAGGCATATGATAGCTATGTGATTAACATGATGATTCAGCCTCTATGGAGACAGACATGAAGTGAAGAGACACAACAACAATCAAATTGTGTGTAGCAGAGAACCAGGAGGTTACATTACAAATCTAGTTTTTAGTTGAAGTCTGATCTATACGGCTTTACAAACTCAATCCATCCCTTCCAACACTTGTCAAATGTGTCTGTCTTGAGTCTTAGAGCAAATGTTACATTTTCTACAATTTCATTTTCACCTCCTGCATATCTGACAGGTGTAAAACTTGACTACCTGACAGTTATTAGTAAAGTACGTGCTGTGATTTTCTGCATTATGGTTATTTTGTTTACTCTCAGCACATGGCCACAGCAGACGGTCTGATAACTCGCTCCGGAGGTTCAGAGCGACCCTTCATTCTGACTCGCTCCTTCTTCGCTGGCTCACAGAGATTTGGTATGTTTTTATATATTTATTTATTTTATACAAAGTGGACAATGATGGCTGGGACATTACAGCCAGCACAATGAGTAAAATAGTAAGCAAACTTGTCTAGAAAGTCTAGATCAGGGGGGTCAAACTCAAATACACATTGGGACAAAATTAAAAAATGGGTACTAGTCGAGGGCCGGACTGGTTCAATGTTCTTATTGAAATGAACTTATTGCACATATTAAACCTGGAACTAACAAAGCTTAAATGATTGCCTATAAAAACAACATTAAACAATAAACTAGAGAATGCAATTCCTGAAGAAATTGCTAGTGGGAATGCTTTATGCTGAAAAGCTGACGCTAAACTGCTATGCTGAAATGTAATGTGTAAGAAGAAAGTGAAGAATTTAGATTGAAATGATACGTGAACACAGGGGGCTTGAATGTGTGATGAGAGAAGAAAAGAAAGTAAAAAGGCTTGGAAAAGCAGCAGAATATTTGAACTGCAAACTTTTGAACTAACTTAATGGCGAATGATCTGTCGCCATGCCAACGGCATTTGGTGACATCCCATAATACGCTTAGGTGCGTTGATGGCTGCATCGTTACCAAACCTGTGAAGTTTTGGGGCGTTTGGAGCAGTTTCACTGAAGTTATGAGAAAACCGTGTTTCATGGCGAGCATTGTGTTGCCATGGCAACGGCATTTGAAGAAATCTCAAAACTGTCACGTAGATGTCTTCACGGCTGGACTGTTAGCACACAGGTGAAGTTTGACCACTTTTTGAACATTTTCATAGGAGTTATAGCAACATCATGTTTTATGGCGAGGGATGCGTTTCCATGGAAACGGCATATGGTGAGATCTCAGATTTGGCGTAGAGCTGTTGAGGCATGGACCGGTGATATACAAGTGAAGATTGGGGGACGATTGGACCGTGTCGATTGGACTTACAGCCACATCGTGTTTCATGGCGAGTGGTCTGTCGCCATGGCAACGGCATTTATGACACCCCATACTACGCTTAGATGCGTTGATGGCTGCATCGTTACCAAACCTGTGAAGTTCTGCGCTGTTTGGAGTATTTTCACTGAAGTTATGAGAAAACCGTGTTTCAAGGCGAGCATTGTGTTGCCATGGCAACGGCATTTGAAGAAATCTCCAAACTGTCCCGTAGATGTCTTCACAGCTGGACTGTCAGCACACTGCTACCTGGAGGCTGCTGCTCTGAGCACGTCAGCATCGTGTTCCATTACACAGGTGTTTATAGTTGAGCTAACGAGGTGTGCAGAGATCACAGGTTTCCATTGTTCTGAATGAGAGATGAACCTCTTACATGTGAACGTTTTGTGGAAGAACCGTAACAGATATCTGTGAAATTTCAAAACGTGAAGCATGTCAAGGAAGTTGAGTATCTGAAGTGTAATTTTTGTTTAGTTTCGGGTTAATAATGTGGCCTTTTTGGCAGTTTAACTAAAGGTGTGCGGCTGCTGCCGTGAGGAAATATCAGCCTGAAATTACAATGGGCTTCAATGGAGGCATGTTGAACGTTTTTGTCACTTCATGCCCTCAAGAGGCATTTTGTTTAATTATTTTTTGCTTAATTATTTGTCATTTTTCAAGCTACGAGATGTTTTCCTACGTTTGTCATGAAGAATTATGTCTCTGGAATGTAGGGTTTGGGAATTATGGCAGTTTTTAAAAAATATATGAAGGCAAATTTCAAGATGTCTTACCCTCTAGCTGTGACATCACACACGTTAATGTTAAAATGTGAAGAAAACCTCTCAAACAAGGTCTGAACAATGTTTAATATCTCTAAAAGTAAGAATCAGATTTAAAAGTTGTTTTACACGAATAATGTCAGAAAGATGTCTAACATTTTAAAGTTGGAATGGGGTTTCTGAGTGAAAGCATGAAGGAACAGTTAGCATTTGAAGTCGCATGAAGATTTGTTGAAGTCTGAAGAGTTTCTCCATTGACTTCAATGTTTAAAAATGTGATGTATTATGGGATGTATCTCTGGAATTATGAAAGTTATGAATGAGAAAAGTAATAGCCATCGATTCCCGACCGAGCTGAACGTTTCGATGTTTGAACAGAGTTTCTGCGATGTTCAATGCGAGAGGAGAAGAGGGCCAAAATACCGGCGGAATAATAATAATAATAAACTTTTTGTGCGTAGAATAACAGTTAGTGGGAATGCTGTCAGCATTCCCACTAATTTATCAGCTGCATTCATTTCTTATGGCTCTATCTGCAGCTTTTCCAGAGTCATTTTTTATGAGTACATTTTCCCACAGGCCAACAACAGCTTCAACAAAACTATTCCCCTCAAAGAACAAACCAAACATGCCCTGTTGTCCTGAGAGAGAAAGTGCAGAAGGAAACATCCATTAAACTCAGTGTGCTGCTCTGTGATGCTAGCTCAGATACTTGGCATCTCATCTTGGGTGCAAGGTCATCAATGTTTGTCTCAGGCTCTGAGCGGAGGAGACCCTCAGGATGGAGTGAAGGTGTGCGTGCAATATACCGGCGGGCCAGATCTAATAGTAATTAGAAATGATCCTGCGGGCCGAAATTAAATCCACCAAGGCCCTGATTTGGCCCCCGGGCCTTGAGTTTGACTCGTGGTCTAGATTATCATAATAATCCAGTTTTTATCTCCTTTGAAGGCAAAGAGTAAAAAGTAATGCTAGGAGTGCAGAGAGCCTCTTAATTTGGATATCTGGTCAGGATTGTAAAGAAAAGGGTCACATTTCCCAGCCTAAATCTCTCCTTATGTTGCTTTAATTTGTTGAAGTGCTTGAAAGGTTTACTTGTACTCCTTATTTTTTTATCTTGTTATTTGTGTTCTCTTTGCTTTTTAATGCATTAAAATGTAATGTTACAAATGCTGTAATGTATTTGTAAAGCCCTTTGAAGTGGCTTTATTTAAAAATAATCTCATCTTGCCTTTGTCAATGATGTCTTTAGTGTTTTTGTATAGGTTGTAAGCATCCTCTTAGTAATAGAAACATTAATCTGACTCCCATGTGGTGTCCCCATGGTGGTTTGATACCTGCAGTTTGTTGTAATGTTTCTCTTTGGGGTGCAGGAGCAGTTTGGACCGGGGACAACGTGGCGAGCTGGGAGTATCTGAAGGTCTCCGTCCCCATGCTGCTGTCGCTCAGCGTGGCCGGCATCGCTTTCTGTGGAGGTGAGTTCATGGTGGATTTCTTAAAGGTCACCTATTATGCAAAATCCACTTCTTCATGTCTCTTCTATCAACATGTGTCCCCTCTTCTTCTTCATGTCTTCTTCTACATCAACATGTGTCCCCTCTTCTCATGTCTCTTCTACATCAACATGTGTCCCCTCTTCTTCATGTCTCTTCTACATCAACATGTGTCCCCTCTTCTTCATGTCTCTTCTACATCAACATGTGTCCCCTCTTCTTCATGTCTCTTCTACATCAACATGTGTCCCCTCTTCTTCATGTCTCTTCTACATCAACATGTGTCCCCTCTTCATGTCTGTCTCTTCTACATCAACATGTGTCCCCTCTTCTTCATGTCTCTTCTACATCAACATGTGTCCCCTCTTCTTCATGTCTCTTCTACATCAACATGTGTCCCCTCTTCTTCATGTCTCTTCTACATCAACATGTGTCCCCTCTTCTTCATGTCTCTTCTACATCAACATGTGTCCCCTCTTCTCATGTCTCTTCTACATCAACATGTGTCCCCTCTTCTTCATGTCTCTTCTACATCAACATGTGTCCCCTCTTCTTCTTCTTCTCTCTCTATCAACATGTGTCCCCTCTTCTCTCTTCTCAACATGTGTCCCCTCTTCTTCATGTCTCTTCTACATCAACATGTGTCCCCTCTTCTTCATGTCTCTTCTACATCAACATGTGTCCCCTCTTCTTCATGTCTCTTCTACATCAACATGTGTCCCCTCTTCTTCATGTCTCTTCTACATCAACATGTGTCCCCTCTTCTTCATGTCTCTTCTACATCAACATGTGTCCCCTCTTCTTCATGTCTCTCTACATCAACATGTGTCCCCTCTTCTTCTGTCTCTTCTACATCAACATGTGTCCACTCTTCTCCATGTCTCTTCTACATCAACATGTCCCTCTTCCTCATGTCTCTTCTACATCAACATGTGTCCCTCTTCTTCATGTCTCTTCTACATCAACATGTGTCCCCTCTCTTCATCAACATGTGTCCCCTCTTCTTCATGTCTCTTCTACATCAACATGTGTCCCCTCTTCTTCATATCTCTTCTACATCAACATGTGTCCCCTCTTCTTCATGTCTCTTCTACATCAACATGTGTCCCCTCTTCTTCATGTCTCTTCTACATCAACATGTGTCCCCCTCTTCTTCATGTCTCTTCTACATCAACATGTGTCCCCTCTTCTTCATGTCTCTTCTACATCAACATGTGTCCCCTCTTCTCTATGTCTCTTCTACATCAACATGTGTCCCCTCTTCTTCATCAACATGTGTCCCCTCTTCTTCATGTCTCTTCTACATCAACATGTGTCCCCTCTTCTTCATGTCTCTTCTACATCAACATGTGTCCCCTCTTCTTCATGTCTCTTCTACATCAACATGTGTCCCCTCTTCTTCATGTCTCTTCTACATCAACATGTGTCCCCTCTGTGGAAAGAGACTCGGAAAGTTTCAGGAACAAAGATTCTCTTTTTGATCAATTTCTATAAAAACCTGTCTGAAAATGAGCTGATCAGATTTTGGTCACTTTGTGATGTCATAACGATGTTTTGTCTTGTGTAACCATTAGCCAATCAGCAACCAGGGTAACCCCCCCCCCCCCCCCCCCCGAATCTCCTCCTAGAGCACCATTGAGTTCTTTGTAACCAAATGTCTCTCAGAGGGGCGTGGGGAGGGGCTCCTTATTTTCATCTAAAGTAACAGACAGAGAACCAGCACTTTGGAAACAGGGCTGAAACAGAGGGGATTATGGGTAATGCTGCAATGATCTGTTTGGTGTTTCAGCCAATCAGAGACAGGTTCTGTATATATCTGAGACCTGTGATATATTGATGAAGAACAGTATAATAGGGGACCTTTAATGTGATGTGGCCAGACTGTAATTCTGTGATATCTCTGGTACCACTCCATCCTCTCATACTGTCCTCCCTCCGTGTTTTTCAGCTGATGTCGGTGGTTTTGTTCAGGATCCGGACCCAGAGCTGTTGGTCCGATGGTACCAGGCGGCGGCGCTGCAGCCCTTCTTCAGAGGTCACTCTGCCAAGGAGACGAAGAGACGAGAGCCTTGGCTGTTCGGACAGGAGGTCACCGATAGGATCCGCACCGCCATCACACAGAGGTACACAAAGAATCACCATCAGAACAAGACAAGACTTAGGTGTATAATGGTGTGTAGGAGCAAACACGATTTAAAGGTCCGCTATCATACTGTTCTTCATCAATATATCCCAGGTCTCAGATATATACAGAGCCTGTCTCTGATTGGCTGAAACACCAAACAGATCATTGCAACATTACCCATAATCCCCTCTGTTTCAGCCCTGTTTCCAAAGTGCTGATTCTCTGTCTGTTACTTTAGATGAAAATAAGGAGCCCTTCCCCACGCCCCTCTGAGAGACATTTGGTTACAAAGAACTCAATGGTGCTCTAGGAGGAGATTCAGGTGATAAGGGGGGGGGGGGTTACCTTGGTTGCTGATTGGCTAATGGTTACACAAGACAAAACATCGTTATGACATCATAAAGTGGCCAAAATCTGATCAGCTCATTTTCAGACAGGTTTTTATAGAAATGGATCAAAAAGAGAGAGAATCTTTGTTCCTGAAACTTTCAGAGTCTCTTTCCACAGAGGGGGACACATGTTGATGTAGAAGAGGACATGAAGAAGAGGGGACACAATGTTGATGTAGAAGAGACATGAAGAAGAGGGGACACATGTTGATGTAGAAGAGACATGAAGAAGAGGGGACACATGTTGATGTAGAAGAGACATGAAGAAGAGGGGACACATGTTGATGTAGAAGAGACATGAAGAAGAGGGGACACATGTTGATGTAGAAGAGACATAGAGAAGAGGGGACACATGTTGATGTAGAAGAGACATGAAGAAGAGGGGACACATGTTGATGTAGAAGAGACATGAAGAAGAGGGGACACATGTTGATGTAGAGAGAGACATGGAAGAAGGGGACACATGTTGATGTAGAAGAGACATGAAGAAGAGGGGACACATGTTGATGAAGAAGAGACATGGAGAAGAGGGGACACATGTTGATGTAGAAGAGACATGAAGAAGAGGGGACACATGTTGATGAAGAAGAGACATGGAGAAGAGGGGGCACATGTTGATGTAGAAGAGACATAGAGAAGAGGGGGGCACATGTTGATGTAGAAGAGACATAGAGAAGAGGGGACACATGTTGATGTAGAAGAGACATGAAGAAGAGGGGACACATGTTGATGTAGAAGAGACATGAAGAAGAGGGGACACATGTTGATGTAGAAGAGACATAGAGAAGAGGGGGCACATGTTGATGTAGAAGAGACATAGAGAAGAGGGGACACATGTTGATGTAGAAGAGACATGAAGAAGAGGGGACACATGTTGATGTAGAAGAGACATGAAGAAGAGGGGACACATGTTGATGTAGAAGAGACATAGAGAAGAGGGGACACATGTTGATGTAGAAGAGACATGAAGAAGAGGGGACACATGTTGATGTAGAAGAGACATTGAGAAGAGGGGACACATGTTGAGGTAGAAGAGACATGGAGAAGAGGGGACACATGTTGATGAAGAAGAGACATGAAGAAGAGGGGACACATGTTGATGTAGGAGAGACATGAAGAAGAGGGGACACATGTTGATGTAGAAGAGACATGGAGAAGAGGGGACACATGTTGATGAAGAAGAGACATGAAGAAGAGGGGACACATGTTGATGAAGAAGAGACATGAAGAAGAGGGGACACATGTTGATGTAGAAGAGACATGAAGAAGAGGGGACACATGTTGATTGTAGGAGAGACATGAAGAAGAGGGACACATGTTGATGTAGAAGAGACATGAAGAAGAGGGGACACATGTTGATGTAGAAGAGACATGAAGAAGAGGGGACACATGTTGATGTAGAAGAGACATGAAGAAGAGGGGACACATGTTGATGAAGAAGAGACATGAAGAAGAGGGGACACATGTTGATGTAGAAGAGACATGAGAAGAGGGGACACATGTTGATGTAGAAGAGACATGAAGAAGAGGGGACACATGTTGATGTAGAAGAGACATGAAGAAGAGGGGGACACATGTTGATGTAGAGAGACATGGAGAAGAGGGGACACATGTTGATGTAGAAGAGACATGAAGAAGAGGGGACACATGTTGATGTAGAAAGAGACATGAAGAAGAGGGGACACATGTTGATGTAGAAGAGACATGAAGAAGAGGGGACACATGTTGATGTAGAACAGACATGAAGAAGAGGGGACACATGTTGATGTAGAAGAGACATGAAGAAGAGGGGACACATGTTGATGTAGAGAGACATGAAGAAGAGGGGACACATGTTGATTAGACATAAGAGAGAGGGGGAACCATGTTGATGAGAAGAGACATGGAGAAGAGGGACACATGTTTGATGTATGAAGAGACATGAAGAAGAGGGACACCATGTTGATGTAGAAGAGACATGGAAAGAGGGGACACATGTTGATGTAGAAGAGACATGGAGAAGAGGGGACACATGTTTGATGTAGAAGAGACATGAAGAAGAGGGGGACACATGTTGAATGTAGAAGAGACATGAAGAAGAGGGGACACATGTGATGTAGAAGAGACATGGAGAAAGAGGGGACACATGTTGATGTAGAAGAGACATAGAGAAGAGGGGGCACATGTTGATGTAGAAGAGACATGAAGAAGAGGGGACACATGTTGATGTAGAAGAGACATGAAGAAGAGGGGACACATGTTGATGTAGAAGAGACATAGAGAAGAGGGGACACATGTTGATGTAGAAGAGACATGAAGAAGAGGGGACACATGTTGATGTAGAAGAGACATGAAGAAGAGGGGACACATGTTGATGTAGAAGAGACATGAAGAAGAGGGGACACATGTTGATGTAGAAGAGACATAGAGAAGAGGGGACACATGTTGATGTAGAAGAGACATGGAGAAGAGGGGACACATGTTGATGAAGAAGAGACATGGAGAAGAGGGGACACATGTTGATGTAGAAGAGACATGGAGAAGAGGGGACACATGTTGATGAAGAAGAGACATGAAGAAGAGGGGACACATGTTGATGAAGAAGAGACATGGAGAAGAGGGGACACATGTTGATGTAGAAGAGACATGGAGAAGAGGGGACACATGTTGATGAAGAAGAGACATGAAGAAGAGGGGACACATGTTGATGAAGAAGAGACATGAAGAAGAGGGGACACATGTTGATGTAGAAGAGACATGAAGAAGTGGATTTTGCATAATAGGTGACCTTTAAATAAAATCTACCTCAAAGTACTGTATGTCACGTTGTTGTTGTTGTTGTTGTGCTCTCAGGTACTGTTTGCTGCCGTACTGGTACACTCTGTTTCACCAGGCTCACACCTGTGGCCTGCCCCCCCTCAGGTGAGGTCTGCTGCCCTCTGCTGCTCACAAAACAAACAGATCCTCTTTCAAATAAATGTTAAAGCCGTCCAGAAGTCTCTGAACATGTCATTCACCCCGCGCAGGCCTCTGTGGGTGGAGTTCCCGGCAGAGCAGAGCGCCTTCTCCGTGGACCACCAGTTCATGATCGGTGATCAATAACATTTGAATGATCACTTTGCGCTGCAGTTATTTCACTTCTGTTATTCTCACTTTAACCGTCTTTGATTGTAATCCAGGAGGAGCTCTGCTGGCCTGTCCTGTAACTGAAGCTCAAGTTAAGGAAGTCAAAGTCTTACTTCCTGGATCTAACGAGGTAAATATATTAATTAATACTTATTATACATCAGCGTGGATGAGTTATTTACGATGTTTCTGATTCAGGTTTGGTACGACGTCCACTCTGCAGAGGAGTTTAAAGGAGGAAGGACTCTGGCTCTTCCTGTCACTCTGGACACAGTGAGCGTTTGTCTTTATACATATCATTTAAATAAAAATAATTAATAATAATACAAAATTAAAGCTACAGGCTACATATTTTACATTTACACACAAAGCATAAAATGTATATAAATCAAATACAATAGAGAAGAAAATACTTGTTGTTAATATGTAAAGGTTTGTGTCTGTCGTTAAAATAAAAATAAATATTTCACATAAAATATGCTTGTATGCTATAACGTGTTTGTTTCATCTTTTGATAGAAACACAGAAATAGAAAAACAGTATATTTACATATATATAATATCATTCCCATTTACTGACATACATACACTTAAACATACATTATGCTTGTATACATACAGCGCACAGTGTAAGAAATGACGGGCAAAATAACAAGGATGCAAAAAAATTCAAGATGCATCAAGTATTAAATACGATCATTATTGAAATGATTTTTTATGATGAGTTAATTATTAAATAATCCTCCCCACATACTTTATTTATATATTCAGATATATTCCCTGTGCTTCAGGTCCCTGTGTTCCAGCGTGGAGGCTCGGTGCTCTGCAGGGCCGCAGGACGTGTTTCCTGCACCGCTGACCTCCAGCTGCTGCCCCTCTCCATCACTGTGGCCCCTAACCCTCAGGTAAACATTAAAGGTCACCTATTGTGCAAAATCCACTTCTTCATGTCTCTTCTACATCAACATGTGTCCCCTCTTCTTCATGTCTCTTCTACATCAACATGTGTCCCCTCTTCTTCATGTATCTTCTACATCAACATGTGTCCCCTCTTCTCCATGTCTCTTCTTCATCAACATGTGTCCCCTCTTCTTCATGTCTCTTCTACATCAACATGTGTCCCCTCTTCTTCATGTCTCTTCTACATCAACATGTGTCCCCTCTTCTCCATGTCTCTTCTACATCAACATGTGTCCCCTCTTCTTCATGTCTCTTCTACATCAACATGTGTCCCCTCTTCTTCATGTCTCTTCTACATCAACATGTGTCCCCTCTTCTTCATGTCTCTTCTACATCAACATGTGTCCCCTCTTCTTCATGTCTCTTCTTCATCAACATGTGTCCCCTCTTCTTCATGTATCTTCTACATCAACATGTGTCCCCTCTTCTTCATGTCTCTTCTTCATCAACATGTGTCCCCTCTTCTCCATGTCTCTTCTTCATCAACATGTGTCCCCTCTTCTTCATGTCTCTTCTACATCAACATGTGTCCCCTCTTCTTCATGTCTCTTCTTCATCAACATGTGTCCCCTCTTCTTCATGTCTCTTCTACATCAACATGTGTCCCCTCTTCTTCATGTCTCTTCTACATCAACATATGTCCCCTCTTCTTCATGTCTCTTCTACATCAACATGTGTCCCCTCTTCTTTATGTCTCTTCTACATCAACATGTGTCCCCTCTTCTTCATGTTTCTTCTACATCAACATGTGTCCCCTCTTCTTCATGTCTCTTCTACATCAACATGTGTCCCCTCTTCTTCATGTCTCTTCTACATCAACATGTGTCCCCTCTTCTTCATGTCTCCTCTACATCAACATGTGTCCCCTCTTCTTCATGTCTCTTCTACATCAACATGTGTCCCCTCTTCTTCATGTCTCTTCTACATCAACATGTGTCCCCTCTTCTTCATGTCTCTTCTACATCAACATGTGTCCCCTCTTCTTCATGTCTCTTCTACATCAACATGTGTCCCCTCTTCTTCATGTCTCTTCTTCATCAACATGTGTCCCCTCTGTGGAAAGAGACTCTGAAAGCTTCAGGAACAAAGATTCTCTCATTAACTTGTGAGTAAATAAATATGAATTAACCTCGTTGCGTTTGCAGGGTCTCGCTGACGGAGAGCTCTATCTGGACGACGGGCACTCCTTCAGATTCAGAGACAGGAAGTCCTTCAGCCGGCGGCGCTTCAGCTTCCTGTCCGACCGTCTGATCTGCCGGTGAGAAACACTGAGGAGGAGCGGACATTAAAAAAACATTTCTATTTATTTTTGTATTTTTCATGTGCAAGTTACACTAAAGCTGCACTGAGCCTCAATTAGTGGATTCACACAAACTGTGGATATTTAAATCATTTGCATTATCATTGTTATCATAGATCTTCGAAAGGGGATACAGAAACAGAAACACTTTAGTTATCGTGGGAGGGAAAGCCGGTTTCTTAAATTGATAACAGTTGCTCCATTTAAGAATAGAAATGAAATGGAATTAAAAATGGAATAAAATAAATAAATGAATACAATTTAAAAATATTATTAAATCATTTGTATTAAATTAAATAACAATAAACAAAACTTGAAGGTCTCCTATCATGCAAAATGCACTTTTTTATGTCTTTTCTACATCAACATGTGTGTCGGTGTGTCGGGGAACTCACGCAGCGTCAGAAAATAAAACCCTCTCTCTTTTCCTCCGTACCCAAATCTCTAAAAACGGGGAACAACGGAGCTGATCCAGATTTGCGTCCGATATGACGTAATATCTGAAATGTGGACCCACGGCCCAATCAGAAACGTTGCTATCAGAAACAATGCCCGACTGTTTTGGACGTAATATGGTCGGTGTTTACATTAGCATCGCTAACTCTCAGAGCTAACCTGTACTGGAGAGCATGTGTGTGAAGAAGCAGGAAGTAAAAAGGAACTCACCTTGTGGTATAACCGGCAAGAGAGAAAGCCTTTGAGCTCCAAACTGTTTCAGAGAGAATCCTTGATAATCCATGATATGGCGTTTCATCACGGCAGCATTTAGTTTAGACAGTAGCTGCCGGGTCCCGCATGAGCTCAGACCCAGAGGTCGCGTTAACCGAATATTTTCCGTCTATGACGGATTTTTTTTAACAATGACGGACAAATCTGAAAGCACTCCGTCATTTGACAGATTAGAACAAACTCGGAACAGCGCCAAAGTTTCCCCGCAGCGAGGCTCCGGTGTTATGCATGCCCACCAAAAAGGAAATTATACCGTTTCCAAACCTAACTGTGCCGTACAAATCATTGAAATGTCTGTGAGTTTTGGCTTTACGCTGTGCACGCTCCTGCGAGGTGCAGCAGCCATGCATAACACGGCGCATGTGAACTGTCCCCCCCCCCCCCCCCCCCGTTGACAGTTCACGAGCATGCTTGCCCCCCCCCCCCCCCCGTCAGGGTTGTGGTAAAGGCCGACGAGTAATTCTGGATTTTGACAGAAGTTTTACGATCCTGTCCGTCAAAATGACGGGCAGCGAAAAAGTCTAGCGCAACCTCCGCTCAGACCCCTCCTTTTTTTTGTTTTAAAGCTTTATCCCCAAATCAGCACTTTAGAAACAGGAAGTGAAACAGAGGGATATGAGGCATGGATAGAATGGGTGATCGGTTTGGTATTTTGAGCAAAACACTTCATAAACATGTTTTTTATATATTTCCCCGCTCAGAGACCCAGGTCGTTGCACGCATCTCTGCTTGTCTAGCTGACATCTCTCAGTGGATGTCTGCTCACCACCTCAAGCTCAACCTTGACAAGACTGAGCTGCTCTTCCTCCCGGGAAAAGATTGTCCCACTCTTGACCTAACAATCAACATCGGCACCTCAGTTGTTTCCCCGACTCAGACTGCAAGGAATCTGGGTGTGACCCTAGATAACAACCTGTCCTTCACTGCAAACATCGCTGCTACAACCCGTTGCTGCAGATACACGCTTTACAACATCAGGAAGATACGTCCCCAGCTGACTCAGAAAGCGACTCAGGTTCTGGTCCAGGCTCTCGTCATCTCACGCCTAGACTACTGCAACTCCCTCCTGGCTGGTCTACCTGCATGTGCCATCCGACCTCTGCAGCTCATCCAGAATGCAGCGGCTCGCCTGGTCTTCAACCTTCCTAAATTCTCCCACACCACTCCGCTCCTCCGCTCCCTTCACTGGCTTCCGGTAACTGCTAGAATCCACTTCAAGACACTGGTACTTGCTTACCATGCTGCGAGTGGATCTGGCCCTTCCTACATCCAGGACATGGTTAAACCGTACACCCCAGCGCGTGCACTACGCTCTGCATCAGCCAAACGACTCGTTGCGCCCTCGCTGCGAGGGGGACCCAAGTTCCCATCGGCGAAAACACGTGGGTTTGCTATCCTGGCTCCAAGATGGTGGAATGAGCTCCCCATTGACATCAGGACAGCAGATAGCTTGCACATCTTCCGGCGCAAACTGAAAACTCATCTCTTTCGACTCCACTTCGAGCGTTAGAACGATTAACGAAGCACTTTTATACTAATAAAGGACTGGATTACCTAAAGCCAGTTGAGTAGCACTTGAAATGTTTGGCTCTATGAAACCTGATATACTTATATGATTCTGTTTTCTTCAAGGTTGTGTCTTCCTGGTCGAATGTACTTATTGTAAGTCGCTTTGGATAAAAGCGTCAGCTAAATGCAATGCAATGTAATGTAATTTGTATACATCTGAGACCTATGCTATTGCCTAAACATAGCATGATAGGTGACCTTTAAATTAAATAACAATAAGCAAAAGTTAAGGTAAACATGTGCACATGTAGCACAATACATATTATTTGTGTCAAACCTGACATGAACTATTCCAATTTCAAATTAAATTGTCACTCACTAAAGTACGATCTTTGGTAGATATAATAATCAGAATTAATATTAAAACCACATTTAAATCCCAGGGTTGATTATGTATCGCCCCATAGGCAACGTTTGGTTTTTGCAGTCTCTGGATACATGACAAAGAAAGTATTACTCCCTACTTGTTCATATTAAAGACAAGTGTCAAAAGAAAAGCGTGATGTTTTGTGTTAATAACTTCTGATAGTATTTATTGTGTTTTCTTGCAGTGCTGCAGGTGAGGGGGAAACATTTGAGTGTGACACCGTCGTTCAGACGCTCACCGTCCTGGGACTGAAGAGAAAACCGTCCTCTGTGATCGTACATGTGAACGGTGAGGAGATCTAACATACATTATTTTTGTATTTTTAACATCATTTAAATAATTGAGAAGTAATAAAACAATGTCATTTTCAGAGGTGGGAGAAGTACTCAGATCTGGTACTTGAGTAAAAGTAGAAGTACTCAGATCTTGTACTTGAGTAAAAGTAGAAGTACTCAGATCTTGTACTTGAGTAAAAGTAGAAGTACTCAGATCTTGTTCTTGAGTAAAAGTAGAAGTACTCAGATCTGGTACTTGAGTAAAAGTAGAAGTACTCAGATCTGGTACTTGAGTAAAAGTAGAAGTACTCAGATCTGGTACTTGAGTAAAAGTAGAAGTACTCAGATCTTGTACTTGAGTAAAAGTAGAAGTACTCAGATCTTGTACTTGAGTAAAAGTAGAAGTACTCAGATCTTGTTCTTGAGTAAAAGTAGAAGTACTCAGATCTTTTACTTGAGTAAAAGTAGAAGTACTCAGATCTTGTACTTGAGTAAAAGTAGAAGTACTCAGATCTTGTCCTTGAGTAAAAATAGAAGTACTCAGATCTTGTCCTTGAGTAAAAGTAGAAGTACTCAGATCTTGTACTTGAGTAAAAGTAGAAGTACTCAGATCTTGTTCTTGAGTAGAAGTACTCAGATCTTGTTCTTGAGTAAAAGTAGAAGTACTCAGATCTTGTTCTTAAGTAAAAGTAGAAGTACTCAGATCTTGTACTTGAGTAAAAGTAGAAGTACTCAGATCTTGTTCTTGAGTAAAAGTAGAAGTACTAAGATCTTGTTATTGAGTAAAAGTAGAAGTACTAAGATCTTGTTATTGAGTAAAAGTAGAAGTACCAGTGTGTAGGAATACTCTGTTACAGTAAAAGTCCTGCATTCAAAATGTTCCTCAAGTAAAAGTAGAAAAGTATTCTCATCAAAATATAGTGAAAGTAGCGACAGTAAAAGTAGAAAAGTATCAGCATCAAAATATAGTGAAAGTAGCGACAGTAAAAGTAGTCGTTGTGCAGATTGGTCCATTTCAGAATAATATATATGATATGTTTTATAATGATTGATCATTAAAGTGTTATCAAAGCTGGTGAAGGTGCAGCTAGTTTGAATGACTTTGTATACTGCAGGGTAGCTGGTGGATTTACTCCAGGTGGAACTAAAGTCTGATTTAACACTTGATTAGATTTCACATCATTCATCCACATCTGTGAAGTAACTAAAGGTATTAAATACATGTAGTGGAGGAAAAGTACAAAGAAGCAAACAATGGAAATACTCAAGTAAAGTACAAGTACCTCAAAATTGTACTTAAGTACCGTACTTGAGTTAATGTACTTACTGTAGTTACTTTACACCACTGGATAAGTAATATATTAGGGGTTGAGGCATTATAAGAATGTAGGTTTCTTTCCGCATAGCATTTAATTATTGCACAGTACAATTGCAGAAGCAAGTGTCCGTATCGCAGGTTATATTTTATTTATTTTCGTCAGTATACATATCTTGTAGAAGCCAATGTAAACTATAACGTTCATTTTGTTGTTATTTACCCCCAGGTGCTGAAGATGTCTCGGCTGCGTTTGAGTTCCTGGAGAGCTGCTCCACGCTGACGGTGAAAGACCTGGAGCTCAGAGTGCTGACGGACTGGGAAATACAGATGTGTTAAAAAACTGTCAAAATATATCAGCTTCTGATTCCAGGTAAACAATGTCCGAGTCATTTTACAAAACGTGATAATATAGACTTAGGTGTTTAATTCAGTACGATGGTTGCCTTATTGCTTTTATGGTCTTCTTTTTAGGTCTTTATTTGTTTATTGTATTGTTTTATGTTTGAATTTGGGAATTAACTCTCACATAAATTATTAAAATTCAAGTTATAAAGACTGTTTGTCTTATTTTGAACAATTAAACCCAAAGATCTACCTATTATTATTTATTATTTTGGTTGTTAAAAATAATTATTACAATAAGGTTGTCATTATTTATACGGAAATGTTTTTGAGATCTAAACAAAAGTGATTTTTGAGGAAATATATTAAAATAAATTCGGCTTTTTTCTCAAACTTCATAAACAAATATGACTTTTTACAAAAAATTCTAAACATTTCTGACTTGTTTCTCAAAATCAATTCTGCTTTTTTCTCAAAAACTCAAAAACAAATCACGTTTCTGACTTTTTACAAAAATAATTTCTGATTTTTTCCAAAAAATCTAAAATAATTTCTGACTTTTTTCAAAAAACTCTAAATAAATTCTGACTTTAAAAAAAAAAATCTAAATACATTCCGACTTGTTTCTTGTCTGTTTTCAGTTTTCTTTTCAGAATTTTGACTTTCTCTCTTTTTTATAAAAATTCTGAGATGTCTAAGATAAAAAAAAGAATCATTTTCAGTCAGATCTAAATTACAGATCTTCTTCAATTCTGATAAACAAACTTTTTAGAAGGTCTCTCATTATGATGACTTAGGGCTTCTTTTATATTTCCATCTCATCAGTAGAAATGGATGTAATGATGCTCCATAGTTAGTCCGTAGTTATGCTGAGACGGCACGTTTCTACTCATTTTGGGAAAGTTTCTCACTGTTTTAAAAAGTCATTACTTTGACAAATGTCCTAAGAGAGATTTTCGAAATGGTGAAATTTATTTTACGGGAAGCAGTCAACATGCCTGACCAAACGTTATGCTTCTTTAAGACTGGATAATCCAAGCCCTTTGACAACACAGGATATATTTTGTACCTGTGATAAAATTGGAGGAACGAACCAGCTGCAGTAATGCTGAGGCTGCTGGATGCTGAGCTCCATTGAAATCGGTATAATGGCTGAATACTTCTGCTGAGGCAGGCCATCCACAGGGTCACTCTTTGCCCTCCGGACCCTTTGTGTCCCCCAACAATGATGCACCAGCCCCAGGGCCACGGCCACACAGCATTGTCCTCCGCAGCCAATGGGAGAGCAACAAATACTCTTAATTATGTGATGTGTATGGCTTCTGTGCATACGTGTGTAAATGCACAGGTGAATTCAGGTGGAGTCTTTCACTGAGATCTACTCTGTGACGAAGGGGAGGGGGACGTCACACAAAGAAGGAGCCAATCACATATTAGCTGTTTGGATTTATGCCAGGGCTTTTGGGGATTTGAAGACTTCAGTACAAGTGGCAAAAGCCAGGTTTAAAAAAAAAAAAAAAGTCGACGAGATGCCGTACACACCGTCGGGCTTTTTCTGCGACCGGCTGATCCGGGAGCGAGAGCGCAGAGACGGGGAAGGGTCTCTGAACAAACCCCTGCGCTTCAATGGACAGGACTTCAGCGTCCTGCGCCAGGAGTGTCTGCAGAAGAAGAATCTGTTCGAGGATGAGTCTTTCCCCGCCACCGTGGAGTCTCTGGGCTTCAAGGAGCTGGGGCACAAGTCCAACAAGGTCAAGAACATCGTCTGGAAGAGGCCCAAGGTAGGAGGAATGAGCGAGGGGGATCAAATATCTCACCTGTATCACACCTGGAGGGAGGCTGTGGCTCAGGGTGATGGGTTGTCTTTTAATGGGTTGGTGGTTTGATTCCCGGTCCATACAACTGCTTTTCTAAGTCACTGTGGTTAAAATGTCACTTAAATGTAAAAAAAACATTGTGGAGAACTAAAATGCTGCGGTGGGATTTTCAGAATGAGAAAACTTGATTTATCCCGTATCATTTTTTATAAAGTTGTATTCAAATTGTATTTTACTATATATATATATTTTTTTTAATGGAGCAGCTGTAACAAAAACCAATCCCCCCGTGGGGTCAAAAAAGTTTTTCTTATACTGAAAATATAGGAGATGGAAAATAACAAATGTATTTTTATTAAATATCAAACCTTACAATTTTCATTTCTCTATGTTTCTAAATAATGTTTGTCTTTTTATTTTGTATTCCTTTTCCATTAAATTGTTTTATTTAAAAATTGAGCAATTGTGACAAAATGCAATTCCTGATTCTGACTCTAAAAGGAAAATGGGAAAACTGAGAAAATGCTCAAAAATATTCAAACCAAAAAAAGTCCAAAATAAATCATTTAAAAAATGATATTTGTTGTAAACATATGAGGTTAAAGCACAAATATAAGATATATATTAAAATATAAAATGTGATGTAGTGGTATTTATATGATGTGTTTTACCTGGAGATGCTCAGGTTAATTGAAATGTATTAACTCTATTGCCACACAACCTTTTTTACCTTTATTGTAATGGTTGTTTCATCCATTTAGAGACGACTATAATTTAGCATTTGACAAAAATCCCATGACTCACAACATCTAGAAAAAAGCTGATATAACTAATAATAGATATAACTAAGTACTTGAAATAAATCAACAGATGTCGAAAATCGCAATTTATTTGTTGTAAAAATGTTGCTCTTCTTTCTGTGCACAGGAGATCTCTGAGAACCCTCAGTTCATCGTTGGAGGAGCCAGCAGGACAGACATCTGCCAGGGAGATCTGGGTACACACACACACACACACACACACACACACACACACACACACACACACACACACACACACACACACATATATACCATGTATACATCACTTCAGGGGACATTACATTGACTTACATGCATTTCCTAGAGACTTATCCTAACCTTAACCATAACCAACACATGCCTAACCCTAACCCTTACCCTAATCCTAATCCTAACCAAGTCTTCACCCTAAAATTAATGATTCCCCTCATGGGGACCTCCATTTTGTCCCCATAAGAGAGGCGAGTCCCCACACGTGACTGTTTAAACAGATTTAGGTCCCCACAAGTATAGTAATGCTAGGCCACACACACACACACACACACACACACACACACACACACACACACACACACACCTCTGCCTGCAGCGGCCTCCACATATTGTGCTCACTCTTTTGGAAGGGAATTCATCTAGCAGCACTTCTCATTGTTTTGCAGTTCAGAATAAAGGGACAAAGCACAGTGTGAAGAAATTACATTGTTTTACATTGTTTACACACACACCACACACACATTGTTTACACACACACCTGGACAATCAGAAAAAACACACACCTCAGCAGTCTTTTTCCTCTAAAAACACAAAAAAACAGCTGTTTCTGGTAGAAGGAAAAAAAGACAAATGATTTCAAACAGAATACTTTTTGGGAGGTCTTTCTCGTTTAAACTTGTTGGGAGTTCAAACGATCCGCATTGTTAAAAATGGTTTGATATTTGACTGTCACCAAAATGGCTGAGCCGTAAAAAGTCCAAAAAATCACTGATTAGGCCTTAATTGGTATTTAAATGATTCCCTCTACAGTCTTGGGAAGTATGATTTTATGAATCACTCTTTTATGACAATGTAATGTAATGCTTCTCACATTAAAGTCATGCAGGTTAGGATAGAGGAATCAACAAAACTCATATCTACTTTCTCATTGCCTGATTGTCTGTAAACTAGTGAGAGATATTTAAGGTTACAGACATTCGGGCAACATTTTTCCTTTTTTCCCAAAATGTGAACGTTTTAATTTGATGTAGTATTAAAGGTAGGGTAGGTAAGAACGGAGAAACCAGCTCGAGTGCGCTAGAGTTTGAAAGTACGCAGCCGGAAAAAAATCTGCCCCTTCCTTCAGACTTCCTCACAGAGCCCCTCCTCCAACACACACGAACGCGCACATGACCAATGAGGGCACGAGATAAGTTTGTGCACAGATGGAAGGCTGACAGGCAGGTAGGCCATCCAGTTACTTTAGCCGGCTCAGATGATTGGTCGTGCTTTCTACAGCGCCACGGCTTCCACAGATGAGATATTTGTATTTATTGTCAAAGCATTTAAGATATTCATTGCTATCGGGATGTTAAGAGCATTCCATGGAATATAACAACACGTGTTTCTGAAGTGAATTACCTATCCTACCTTTAAGTAAACTTTAATATAAGCATGTAGGCTCTACGATGTGGACATGGATGCAATGTCTGATACGTTTTATTTATGTAATGTTGTGTTGAATGTCTTTGTATCTGGTACAGGCCGGCTTTAGTGTTTCCTGTGTGAGACAAATTTAAGTATATAAAAAAAGAACCATCACATTCAAGGGAGTTAAAATGGAAATTATTTCCTGTGTTCAGGTGCATTAACATGATGTTATTTCATGTGTTCAGAGGCCTGTACTACGAAGCAGGATGTTCTCTTAGCAGCTAACTTCAGGGAAAACTCTGGCTTTCCGGTCCTACGACGCTGGTTCTCTTTTTAGCAGGCTAGATCTCCATGGTAACTGATGCTGAGCGCCTAACCTGCTCCGGAGCAGGTTAGGTTGCAGGCTAAGAGATCAACTCAGTGAAAGCACTGCCTGCTGACCAATCAGAGCTCAGTGTGCGGAGTTTAAAGCGATCAAGTCATATTACAGGAGAAAGGAAATACAGAAAAACTGCCGTTGCAGGAAAGACGGCCGTGTTTAAGTCATGGATGTTTAAAGTATAACTTCTTCATATTTGTCTAACATTATAGTTGACTTTTCATTAAGGAAGTATGACGCTGCGCTGTCAGTGCGCTTCTCCATGTTTGTGATTGGTCGAATGCTCCAAATACCACCCCTTTCATGTGAACGCGCACCTAACTAGATAGGGACACTGCTGGGCTTGAGCGATCCACTTGAATAACCCGCGTCGTAGTACGTTTAGCGAGAGCGCGTATGTTTTGGATTAGGCCAACCGGCTAACTCAAACATATCCAGGTTAGGTTGAACCAGCTTCATAGTACAGGCTTCTGGTGCATTAACATGATGTTACTTCCTGTTCTCAGGTGCATTAACATGATGTTACTTCCTGTGTTCAGGTGCATTAACATGATGTTACTTCCTGTGTTCAGGTGCATTAACATGATGTCACTTCCTGTGTTCAGGTGCATTAACATGATGTTACTTCCTGTGTTCAGGTGCATTAACATGATGTTACTTCCTGTGTTCAGGTGCATTAACATGATGTTACTTCCTGTGTTCAGGTGCATTAACATGATGTTACTTCCTGTGTTCAGGTGCATTAACATGATGTTACTTTCCTGTGTTTCAGGTGCATGAACATGATGTCACTTCCTGTGTTCAGGTGCATTAACATGATGTTACTTCCTGTGTTCAGGTGGCATTAACATGATGTCACTTCCTGTGTTCAGGGTGCATTAACATGATGTTACTTCCTGTGTTCAGGTGCATTAACATGATGTCACTTCCTGTGTTCAGGTGCATGAACATGATGTTACTTCCTGTGTTCAGGTGCATTAACATGATGTAACTTCCTGTGTTCAGGTGCATTAACAAGATGTCACTTCCTGTGTTCAGGTGCATTAACATGATGTAACTTCCTGTGTTCAGGCGCATTAACATGATGTAACTTCCTGTGTTCAGGTGCATGAACATGATGTTACTTCCTGTGTTCAGGTGCATTAACATGATGTTACTTCCTGTTCTCAGGTGCATTAACATGATGTCACTTCCTGTGTTCAGGTGCATTAACATGATGTTGCTTCCTGTGTTCAGGTGCATTAACATGATGTTACTTCCTGTGTTCAGGTGCATTAACATGATGTTACTTCCTGTGTTCAGGTGCATTAACATGATGTCACTTCCTGTGTTCAGGTGCATTAACATGATGTTACTACCTATGTTCAGGTGCATTAACATGATGTTACTTCCTGTGTTCAGGTGCATTAACATGATGTTGTTTCAGGTGACTGCTGGCTGCTGGCGGCCATCGCCTGCCTGACCCTGTACGAGAAGCTTCTCTACCGAGTGGTTCCTCACGAGCAGAGCTTCTCTGACGGATATGGAGGCATCTTCCACTTCCAGGTCAGAATACAACATCTAATTATCAGATATCCAGTCCTGCATCTAGCTTTGTATCCTCCTTAATATTAAGTTTACTGAAACAACTGAAGGAAACAACCATTCATTGAATTTCTCCTGAAACAGTGGCTGCCCTTTTAATTGGTTTGGTTTTAGTCAGTTGCTGTTCACTGACTCTAAACACACCCAGAATAACATGTTTTCATTTTGCAAACAAGAGCAAATATTGCACGAAATATTATACAAAACATGAATGTAATTGCAGAATGTAAAGTGGAAGTTTAGTGCAGGAATATGTAAAAATGAGGGACATGAAACCCAACAAAGAACAAACTAACTTCCCATTAAAGTGCAATTTACTTATTTATCTAAATAGTTATCACCGTAATAACTGTATTTAATGTCATCTTACTTTACAATATTTAATTTTACATTCTGTTCTTGTACATATCATATTCTATTTACGTGTATATAGACTTATTGCACTATTTTTTATTTGTATTTTTGTATTTATATATGTTGCATTGTTGGAGGAGCTCAGGTAAGAAGTATTTCATTGCCATTTCTACACTGTAGCTTATCTGCATATGACATTAAAGGTCACCTATCATGCTATGTGTAGGCAATAGCATAGGTCTCAGATATATAAACAATTATAAAAAACATGTCTATGAAGTGTTTTGCTCAAAATACCAAACAGATCACCCATTCTAGCCATGCCTCATATCCCTCTATTTCACTTCCTGTTTCAAAAGTGCTGATTTGGGGTATAAAGCTTTAAAAAATATATATGTATACAAATAAAAGAGGAGGGGTCTGAGCTCATGCGGGACCCGGCAGCTACTGTCTAAACTAAATGCTGCCGTGATGAAACACCATATCATGGATCATCAAGGATTCTCTCTGAAACAGTTTGGAGCTCAAAGGCTTTCTCTCTTGCCGGTTATACCACAAGGTGAGTTCCTTTTTACTTCCTGCTTCTTCACACACATGCTCTCCAGTACAGGTTAGCTCTGAGTGTTAGCGATGCTAATGTAAACACCGACCATATTACGTCCAAAACAGTCGGGCATTGTTTCTGATAGCAACGTTTCTGATTGGGCCGTGGGTCCACATTTCAGATATTACGTCATATCGGACGCAAATCTGGATCAGCTCCGTTGTTCCCCGTTTTTAGAGATTTGGGTACGGAGGAAAAGAGAGAGGGTTTTATTTTCTGACGCTGCGTGAGTTCCCCGACACACCGGGGACACATGTTGATGTAGAAAATACATCAACAAGTGCATTTTGCGTGATAGGAGACCTTTAAAACCTTTGAATCTTTAATCATTAAATATAACCAGTGGTTTCTCAACTGGTGGGTCGCGGACCCGTTTCGAGTGGGTCGCGGATGTGTGAGTGAAGAAAAAAAAAATTAAAGGAAAAAAATAAATAAATTGGAATTCTTTTTTTTTTTTTTGGGGGGGAAAAAGTCAAACTTTTATTTTGAAGGCCCGATCAGAATCAAGAGTGTTGCCGGAAGTCCCCACGGAGAATAACTTTGCAGTAGAACTATTCTTTATACATCCATGGGTACAACTTCAGATACAAATGAACACATAATGAAATATGACCCCCGGTTTGATGACTGACAGGTCACAGAACAATGGGAGCTATCTACCCTTACCCACAATTTAAAGTAAGTCACACAGACTCTCTCCTCTTTGCTCTTCTCGCAGCAAGCTGTCAGAACTAAGTGAAAAACAAACAATGGCATAACATATTATTAATATGTCGGGTAGTAATAGATTTATTTATTTTCTTCTCAGTGTACCAGAATGCATAATTTATGTTAGTATTTCTAAAAATCCCCTGGGGGAGAATCCCCCCAGACCCCCTGCTGGGGTTGGGTTTTCAGCATGTGAGCCTTTTGATGTTATATAGTTCAGCTTTGATTCCATCATCTCATTAAACCTTATTTAAAAGCATACTTTAGTTCTGTGAAGGGATATAAGGGATATATGCACTGCAGGCTACTTCACTTTTATTAATATTGTATGCTGAAAAGCGTATATATATATTACAGCACGATTTTTTGTTGAATAGATTTGAGTGCTTCAAAATGTTGGGGTCGCGATGTATTGACCAAGTAAAAAGTGGGTCCCGAGGCCTGACCAGTTGAGAGCCACTGATGATCTAAACGTTATAGAAGTTGAAGGAATGTTAGTATACATATTCTTTCCCTTTGTTCCTTGCAGTTCTGGCGTTATGGGGACTGGGTGGACGTGGTTATCGACGACCGCATCCCGACTTTCAACAACCAGCTGGTCTTCACTAAATCAGCTGAGAGGAACGAGTTCTGGAGTGCGCTGCTGGAGAAGGCCTACGCCAAGTCAGTGTTAATTTAATCTGTATGATATCTGTATGATATCTGTATGATACAAGTACTGGGTGATTTCTACTTCTGTTTACAGTCACTACACATATGAAGAAGCAATGTTTTGTAGCTGATTTGTGATTCAGAAAGGTTGTAGTTGCATACAGTAAAGTCATATTTTTTGTAATTTCTCAAGACATTATTTTATTGTAATCCTATATTCTTATTTGAATGGGTTTATTTTTGTATTTTTTTTTATTATAACTGCATTTTTATTTAAAAAAATTTTTTTTTTCGTATTTATTTCATTTCTAAAACGGAGCAACTGTAACAAAATGACCCTCAGGGATTTATGAAATAATATTGTGAGGGAAACTTCTGAAGCAATAGGAGTCAGGACTCAGAGACACGAGGAGAGCAGGAGCTTTGATGGCAAACACTGACGGTTTATTTGGAGCTTCGGCCGGAGAATTCACAAGACATGTCATATTTTTGTACTTATCCTTTAGTTATTCCAAGTATTTCATGCTAAACAAACCCCCCTTTTGAAATAATACTTTATTTAGAATTTTTCTTTTAGTTACAATAAAGCAAAGACATACACAACATACTGTAAGTAGGTACGCGAAACCTTTACATGGCGTACAAGAGGGAAAAAGTAAGTGGAGTCAGGACTCAGAGAGACACGAGGAGAGCTGGAGCTTTGAGGACAAACACTGACGGTTTATTTGGAGCTTCGGCCGGAGAATTCACAAGACATGTCACGGGTCACGAGTTGACCACACGGTTGAGATGCCACAATCAATCCTGAAGAGCCCTCCTGTAGCTCCAGGTTTTAACCTTTATATATACAGTCTATGGTTTTAACTAGTTCAGAGTGTAATAATCAACATTCTTCAATAGATAGACTTAACAGCTGAGGACACTGAATCACATTTGTTGTCGCTTATGGCTCGGGGTCATCTACACCCCGAAAAGGATGTGTTCCAGGTGTCCCACAACAATAACTATCTCTGACAGAGAGTTGCCCGGTCACAAACTGGCAACAACAACAACTTGCTAGGGCTGCCCCTCCTTAAGGGAGATAACGGCTGCTCAAGGCTGGTCAGCTGCGTCAGAGGGCGAAAGGTAAACATGTAGGGCAAATTATTCCCTGACAAATATGAGGTAGAAAGTAACTTTATTTAACCAATAGTGTGTCTAACTAAAATTAAATATATAAGCCAAAAAAGAGTACTATTAAATAAATGTACTATTAATTAATTCTCAGATTCAGAATACTTTATTAATCCTGGGAGAAATTGGGGTTGTTAAAACATAATAAAAAAATAAATATAAAAATAAACGTACAAAGTTAAAGTAAGAATGTGCAATTAATAGGATAAAATAAATCTAATGAAATAAAGATAATTATGTTAAAATAGGATGTTTTATTTATGTTAAAATACCAAGGATATTAAGGCTGAGTTGCACAGTGCATTTACAGGCTGTTCTCCTGTTCTCCTGCTCTCCTCAGGCTGCACGGCTCCTACGAGGCTCTGAAGGGAGGAAACACCACGGAGGCCATGGAGGATTTCACCGGGGGGGTCACTGAGTTCTACGAGATGAAGGAGGCGCCCAAGGAGCTCTACAAGATCATGAAGAAAGCTCTGGAGAGGGGCTCGCTCATGGGCTGTTCCATCGACGTGAGTACTGACAACACTGTATATAAATACATTTAATTAATACTGTATATATGATCAGGACATGGTGGTCAATAGCCGCTTTCACACCAAGTACTTTGCCGTACTTAGTGCCCAGCGCTTGGTGCCCAGCGCTTGGTGCCCCCATGGAACTAAGTACAGATCGCGTTCACACCGGAATAAGTCCCTGAGGGAAGATTACACAAATGAAGCCGCTGACGTCACTTCTTCTTCTTCTGCTTTGGGTTTATTGGCAGGCCGCAAACCACTTCACAGCGTATACTGCCACCCGAATCCCCCGAAGTCCCCGGAGTTGGGGAAGGCTTCAGTAGAAGCTGCTGGGACTCCCAGCAACTTCTACTGAAGCCTTCAGAGTAAATCGCCAGAACGCCGACACCTCTTCATCTCCACCGCTCCCATGTTTTCTTTTGTGTTGCCATAAGTTAGTCTCTCTGCGTTGGTGCGCTGGGCGAATGCTAATAATGCTAATGCCACAACACTTTTCAGAGTTTTACGGGGCGTGGTTTGCAATTCGCCCAGCCAATCAGAAATATGGATAGTACCACCTCTCTAGCAGGGACTACAAATGGGGGTAGAAGTTTTCTGAACTAAGTTCTCTTTTTGGTGTGAACGCAAATTTCGTGGCACTATCGGAACTAAACGGGAAAAGTACTCCGGTGTGAAAGCGCCTAATGATGAATGGCTAGTAACCTTTTATATATTATCTGCACTCTTTGTTCTTACCCTGGACACAGACATATATTTATCTATATCTATATATGTACCTGTTTATACTTTTTTTATAGAAAGACTGGATAATGTTCATTTAATAACTTTTGATATGTCCAGGCATCTAGGGCCAACTACTTAATTTAATTAGTTATATTATTTATTCTTACCAACTTTGTGTGGTTTCTACTCTTTCCTGTCTGCCACTATATGATTTTTAGCAACTGTATCTCTATGGGTTGAAGATAGTTTAACAAATTAATATTAAAAAACCTTTAGAACATCTCAAGAAATTCAGATGTATTGCAATAAAGTGGAATAAGTGTGTGTATATGCATCAAGACATAAAAACAAATCGGGGCAAATCAAAGGTTTTTTTAGGTTTTAAGAATAAATGTAAAATATTCTGCAAACCTTTGGCTAAAATGTTCATGTGTTTATCATTTTTACTTATTAATTCAGAGTTTTCCTTTAAATAAAGTGTCGTTTTTAATATTTCTGCAATATAAAGGTGTATTTTGTGCCTGCAGTCGCTGGTTCCTGCGCGCTTTGAGACTCGTACGGTGACGGGACTCGTGAAGGGCCACGCCTACTCTGTGACCGCCGTGGAGGAGGTGAACAAGAAATGTCTTTTATAATTGAATTATCTGGAATAGTGTTTACCCCTGTGTCCTGCAGAGCTGCACACACACAGTCCCAATGCCAGGTTGTTTACATGTGATAATGTCGTCCCTTAGTGCAAGCCGTCTCAGCTAAAGGAGTCTAAGGTGCGTCTGGTGCGTCTCAGGAACCCCTGGGGACAGGTGGAGTGGAACGGACCCTGGAGCGACAAGTAACCGCCTCTCACTACATTCAATGATATATATTCATTTTCAGCCTTTTGAGTTAGGAGCTGGACTTTGATGAAGTGTCATGTCTTAAATCTTGTGCCTCACTTTAATTAAAAACTACTCTGAAGTCCTTATAAGAATTGTTCCACCTAAAACCTAAATAGAAATATCATATATCAATACATTTATCCACTTTAGCTCTTATTATTACTACCGTATGAATTTTGAGAGTTTTAACCCTTTAAATTCCAGTTTGTTTACATCCTTACTTTATGCATGTTCCCCGGCCTCTCCCAGCTCTAAGGAGTGGACGACGCTCTCTAAGACGGAGAAGGAGAAGCTGCAGCATCAGAGCGCAGAGGACGGAGAGTTCTGGTGAGAACAGTTCTAAAACCGTTGAAAAACAAAGTGCAGTCCACCTGAATTTGAAAGTGTAAGAGTTGTGGGTTTAAAGT